TGGCTGTCAAAATACCTGAACAATGCCTGCATCCAATCAGAGTGTTCAGGTGATTTGACAGCCCGCGGGGCCGACTAGCAAGATACTGAAGCGTGGCCCAGCGGGAGATTGCTCCATCCACACACTTTAGCGTTGATGGAGGAATCTGTTGCACATTTTCCATCTGACCATAGAAAGTGTGCAGATAACCTATAGGGGTATGGCCAGCTTAGGGGTTGTTGGGTATAGACTTGAGACGTACGAGTATTCCCTCATCTAATCACATATGGCCATTCTCCAATGTCTGTACATATCTTTAGTGAAATCTTATACCCGCTCAATGTTTAAATCTGCACACTCTGAAAATGAAAAACGCAAGTACCGTGAAAGGAATGCAAAGATTTACTTTACTGTGACATTAAATGGTCCTTAAAAGCCTCCTTCAGATGGATGGGAAGACATAAGGAGGCTTTGCTGCTCCAAGAAAACCTGTAATTAGCCTCTAATCGACTCAAAAGGCTGTCACTGCAATCACTCGGCTTGTAAAAGATGATCAAGTCTGAACTCCGCTGTACCTGCGCTTTTTCTAGGAGCTGAATATGTCCCTCCCCGTAAAGGGGACATAAAGCAATGCAGAACACCACCAGCTATAGAGGAGTACAAATCCCAGCAATACATTATACCGCAAATCATAATACCATCAGCTATAGAGGACTACAAATCCCAGCAGTACATTATACAACAATGCAGAACACCACCAGCTATAGAAGGGTACAAATCCCAGCAATACATTATACAGCAATGCAGGATACCACCAGCTATAGAGGACTACAAATCTCAGCAATACATTATACAGCAATGCAGAATACCACCAGCTATAGAGGAGTACAAATCCGCTACGTTTTAGCTGCTTTGTATAAAATAAAGTTTAAATGTGTAAATAAAAATATGTTTTACCAAATGTCAAACTGGCACGTATGGGTATCATGAAAGCCCCATTTCAATGTGTTGCTTACCCCAATGCACCTAGCCATCGCATGTTGCAATGATAGGTACAAGGTGGTGCCCTTATTTCTTAGGCACCCCAATACACCTAGCCAATGTGCGTTGTATCGCACCACATTTCATGGTAACCTATTAGCATGTGATATGGTGCGATGCCATTAAAAAATAAGGCTAGGTTCACACCTAGGCAATCCAGATGCTGAGCTATTGTTGCGTGTTTTCGATCGCGCGACTGTTCATTGTAAACCGTGCGGTGTTCGCTCACCTCTCGATCCTGTCACGGCTCTCTGCCGTGACAGGGGAGGGGCTGGATTCCCCGCTCCGATCCGCCAGCGCTGACTGGCGGAACGGACAGGGGAGGGGGCGGGTACAGCTGGCTCTGCCTCTAGATAGGCAGAGCCAGCTGTAAGTCACGCAGCTGGGCGGATCCCGGCACAATTGTCGGGATCCGCTTCAGCTGCGGCGTCTCAGTATACCGCGAGCAGCAGCTCGCCGTATACTGAGCATTGGGTGACGGGAGGACGCTAGTTTGTGTCCTCCCGTTACCCTAAGGAGAACTATGGGGAAAAGACATAACCCCATAGTTCTCCTTTAATGAAACAACTTTTTTGATTCTGCTCCAAATGTCTCCGATACCATTTTGAATATAAACAAATGACAGTAAATCTCCGGAGGCAGAGCATGGTCAGTGGCAGGAACAGAACTCTCGATTGTAGAGCGTGGCTCCTGACTCCCAATGACATCATGTATATGGTATTCACAGGGCCCCACACTGGATGTGTACATTCTTGCCAAGCCAGAGCCACTAACAACGCGTTCATCTCGTATCACACTGATGTCAATAGCTTCCTGAAATGTCACAGCGCACTCGGCTTTTAGGAGGTATGGCGCTGCGAACGTGAGCGGTTTACAAAAGCTGAGATTCTCTCTGGTTATAGATAAGCTGGATATAATGTAAAGCATTCTATATATAGCACTGTGTTCTATCCAGACATGAGCAGCCAATCACATGAAGGTGGAAGATCAAGCACATTAATATTAAAGTGTATGTCAACTAGGGATGCACCAATACTAGTATCGGTATCAGTGCCGACTATTTGGGCAAGTACTCATACTCACCCAAATGTTCCGATGCCTAGGCCGATACTTCCGGTATCAGGAAGCCGGGCAGCAAGTCATTACACTTGTGACGAGGGAGCATGGAGCCGGCTTCCCGGCCAATCAGGAAGCCGGGCAGCGTGTAATGACTCGCTGCCTGATTGGTCGGGATGCTGGCCAATCAGGAAGCCGGGCGCCATGTAATGACCTCACTTAATGACGAGGGAGCATGGAGCTGGCTTCCCGGCCAATCAGGAAGCCGGGCGCCGCGTCATTGCACAGCTCCTGGCTTCCCGATTGGCCAGAAAGCCGGCTCAATGCTTTCTCGTCAACTAGTGACAAGAAGCATGGGGACGTCTTTCCTGCTAACTAGGAAGCCGGGTGGCAAGTCTTTACACGCCGCCTGGCTTCCTTAATGGGACTTGTGGTATCGGTGAGTACCGAAAAAAAAAATATTGGTACTCGATACGAAAATACCGGTATCGGTACATACCTAATCTAAACCCCAAATCATTTTTTCAGTATCTTTGGCATAATGTCCCACTGTATGTATACCTTTTACATAAAGCAGAACTGCAGGAATGATCATACATGCCGATAGTAGATGAAAACAGAGAGATGAGTGTACTGCTTGCCTGGGAGGCAGAGCTGTGTAAATCTCAGGACTGGGTGGACAGAAATACAAATCCTTTTGGCAGGTAAAGCAACTGCTATATACATAGGGGGGAATTTATCAAGACTGTAGCAGACAATTCTGGAGCAGTTGTCCATGGCAACCACTCAGCTTCTTTGTCTCATTTTAAAATCTTGCCTGAGCAAACTGAAGAGAGATGCTGATTGGTTGCCATGGGAAGCTGCTCCAGATTCTGGATAAATCCCCCCCTCCCCCCCATGGTATGTAGTGCGGACTAGTGATTCAATGCATTGATGTCACTGCACTTGTATTCCATTGCAACTACAGGTCCCTCTGCCATGGTGGCTGATGGGAGTTGCTGTTTCTCCATTTATAGATCCTGTCAAAGGATCTGTGAATGGATGATGTGGCTGTGTGGGCGGAGCCATGCAAACAACTGCGGCAGCCTACAGAGAGAAGAACCCCACAATTCAGGTAACGGGAGTGCGATCTGACCACGTTTCACCCTATCTATGAGTGTAACATGACACATGGTCAGATTGTGTGATTGCGCTGACTTTGTTCATTTCTTCATTACAATGACTCACTTTGGTGGATCTCAAACCTACGTAATTGAGAGCAATTCAGAACAATTTGCTTCCCTCGGTAGGATGACAGTTTTGTTGGAGCTGTAATGCATTTCTTCTGTTTCCTGCTTTTACAATCCCTCTGCTCCTCGTCTGCGAATCTTTATTTTACCCCACCAAGGACCTTTACATCATACAAACTAAAAAAAGAACTGCAAGAGAAATCGTTTCAGATGTCTCTCCGGAGTGCAGCCATAGAAGTGAGACTCTGGGAGACAGAAGGCTTATATACACTGAATGTGCCAATACAATGAAGGAAACCTGAGCAGCCAGGAGCCCCAAACATATGATGAATCCCCCGGAATCATGGATTTCTTTTTTATAGGGCCGGTTCAAACCATAGCATTCCTCTAAAGTCTTAATACCTGTGTGTTTAGCGCACGATAGCACACAACGCAAACAACGCATGCTAGGTGAACTGGTGGGTTACGATTTTTTTGAATGGCACCCCAATTGCGTGGTACTGCAATACCACACGTTGGGGGGAAATTATCAAAACTGGAGCAGAGAGAATCTGGAGCAGTTGCCCATGGCAACCAATCCGCTTCTCTCTTCAGTTTCTTGAAAATAAAAGCTAGAAGCTGATTGGTTGCTTCTCCATAGCTGCTCCAGAATCTGTCTGCTCCAGTTTTGATCAATTCCATTTCTTGTGTTGGGAAAAAAAACAAAAAACAATGCACGCATTAATTTTTTTTTACCATACCGCAACACACAGTATCCTGGTAGTGCCCTTTGTGCTGCAACACACACCTGCCGGGAGGTGCATGGGGCTACCATTCACAGCACAACAGTGCACCTAGCATGCAGTGCATTGACCTGTGCGATAGTGTGCACTGAAAGCACCATAATGTGCTTTTAACACAACACTATAGTGCAGGGGAGGCAACTCTGGCCCTCCAGCTGTTGTGGAACGTCAAGTCCCATGAGGCATTGCAAGACTGACAGTTACAGGCATGACTCCCGGAGGCCGAAGCATGTTGGGATTTGTAGTTAATGCACAGCTGGAGGGCTGGAATTGCCCGACCCTGCAATAGTGTGAACAGGCCCGTACAGCCCAACTTATGGCACAAGACAAAAAGTGTCCACTTCCCGCATTGCAAGGTCTAAAGCAGGAGTGAGCAACTCCGGCCCTTCAGCTGTGCATTAACTACAAATCCCAACATGCATCTGCCTCTGGGAGTCATGCCTGTAACTGTCAGTCTTACAAATGACTCATGGGACTCCCTCTCCTTATTGCCCACCCCTGGTCTAGGGGGAAAGGTAAGAGGAGATATTACTTAAACACACACCCTGACCTAGATTAACACCGGGTAAGAAATGTGAAGGACCCACCTGTCTGGTCTGTCAGGCAGGCGTGCCTCAATCATAAGAAGTGCTGATCAGAATGACACAGCCAGTAAACTAGTTCCTCTGTATGTATTATAAATCATATTCTTAGCTGTTTGCTTAAAATTCAGGTTTAATCATAACATACCAGTAATACCCTATAGTCAAAACAAAACAGAGTATGCACATGGTGACAGGTGCTCACAATCATCTGTACACAGGAGCGAGCACTATGTATGCAGATGATGCACATGCTGCAAGGTGCTCACAATAACCCATCCACAGGGCTGACACGGGAACGAGCACTATGCATGCAGGAAATATCTCCTCACCAAGATAGTCCGAGGCGGACTGCAGCAACCTCTCCGGGCTCATTTTTCTCCCCTTCACGGACACCATTCAACGGGCATTACGTCATTCATCAAAGAGCTACTTCCGGCCGGTAATTAGGTGGCGTCTTTGATTACCATAGCAACCGAATGATCCTGTGCGACATAAATGTGTCTCGGCTGCAAACACGAACCCCGCATCATGCTTCCTCCCCTCATGCTTACTCTATAGCGAGGGCAGAGGGACATGTTATAGGCGTTTTGAGTGCAGCGCAAAGTCTTCTATTAGTCACATGATCGGTGTGCGGTTGCATTCGTTTATTTCATATATTTTAGGAACGTTGAAAATGATCTGATCTCACAAAATAAAGATTTGCTTTTTTTTTTTATTATAGGGAACATCTAGAAATTTTAGTTTTGCCCAAAATGTTCCCTGATAATGTTCCTTTCCTGAGCAATAACAGTGTACTTCCTGGTATGTGAGTGTGCCTAGGCTCTCCTGTGCTAAATGCTCATAGCTGTACATCTGCAGTGTGAGACTTAAAGAGGATCTTTCATGCCAAACAGAAGGTCCACCATTTTGCAAGCACCCAATACAAATAGCTTCAAAAAGCCATCTGTAAACAAACGGATCCCCCAAACAAAAATTAGTTACCTAGGCCCCGGGCTCTGACGCTTCCTGGGAGGCAAGTGTGAGGTCACTGTGCATTCCTGCAGAGCTGTCAGCTTGAAATCCCATGAGAATGCACTGCAGCCCATGCAGGAGTGCATGCTGGCATGATTTCGAGCACCCAGCTATCCCAGGAGAAAGTGGTGGGGCACAATGACCTGATCGTACCTCTGCACAGGGCAGAAGTCATTTTTTTTTCTCCACGCGATCTGTTTGTTTACAAATGGCTCCTTAAAGGGGGATGGCAGGGGGCATGCAAAAAAAGTGCACCTTCCATTTTGCATTCATGGTCTATTTTAAGGCACGGTTGCTTCTGAAAGCTAGTGAGATTTAGGGTGCATTCACACTAAAATCGGAAGGAAATCGCGGTCAAAGGAGGGTCCGCGGGTTTGCAATTGTACCTTCTGATTTCTTTCCAATCCGTTGCATTGCAATCCGTTTTCGAACATATGCTAATTGTAGGGGACAGAAAAATGAATGGGTGTGAATGGGGCTAGTTCACACCTTATCTGTTGTGATACGACGTGCTGAAAATACTGTGTCGCTCACTGTTCTCTTTGCTGACATTTGCTACCAAGATAGCCGCCTCCACACAGCTAAACCCAGGCATGCTAACTCAGTAATAGGAGAAAGAGTAGCTGCAAGGAGCCTATAGGCAATTCTTAGTCCTTTGCCCTCTGCCTGCCATTTTGTGTCCACAGTTCAGTCCAGGAAACCTGCACTAAGGAAGTATAGAAGATGTCACAGCTGACCTCACCTCTAAATTCTACTTGGCTTGCAGTCATCCACAATTTCCATGCTTGTTCCATTGACTCAGAATGTATTGATGCCATAGGGTCAGCAATGACAGCTTGGGAATTCGCATTTTTAGGTGTTCAGCAATGGCAAAAGGGCCCTCCCTATAATGATGCAGCCTGAGCTGGTTGCCTTAGGTGGCTTCTCTTTTGGCCATGTGGGGTCGTCAGGTGTGCTCTGTCCAGAGTCTCGCCCAGCTCCTGTCAACCTGTGACATAAGTGAGCTGGCTAGGATGCCAGAACAGGTAACGTGCACCACCAGTACCCCCATCCCCCCGTGAACTACCCCTGGCCTTAGGCAGCGATAGGTATAAGGACACCCCAGAATGGCAGCCTCCATATTTCTCTCAATACAGGTTTCCTTTAAAGGCAAGGGGTGTAACTGCAAGCAGTGGAGATGGTCCGGCGAGGACAATAAAAAAATAAGCCATTGGAATTCTGTACTGGGTCAAAAGAGGTTTTATTTGCTGTAGTACTCCTCGTCTGGCAAAATAAATGAAAGCTATAATGTAATATTGCAAACCAAGCCAAGAATTGAATTAGATCTGAAATTAGGTCACTGTGATGGAACCATGGCTGTGCTCCACTTGGCCTGTAGTACTTGAGGCTAGCTTACTGCTTGCTAGCATTGGAGGATGGCAGTATCATAAAATGGATTTGTTGACCGCTGATGCAAAGCAATAGCAATTGTCTGGGAAAATATTTCTTAGATAATTCAATTGTACCCTGAAATCATCTAGTGTGGGTATGGAAACATCTTTTAGTGGCTGTATCTCCTGATCACCATCAGGATTATTCACAAAAGGGTGAAGAGTTTGGAGAAGGCAGGAGAAGTGAACAATGTAGGACAACATGGCTGATTAGGAAACATTGTCCAATTCAGCTCACTTTCCAGTTCAGCTATGTTGTCCTAGATTCAGGGATCCCAACCTGAAAGAATCAATTTCAGGGAGGTGTCCCTCTCATTTCAGGGAGGTGCCCTCCCCCTCCCCCCATCCGCGGAGGGGGGGTTAGGGGGGCTGGGAGAGAGCACGCCCCTGAAATGATGGCAGATAGCACAGGAAGCAATAGCTTCTTTGCTATCTGCAGGTTTTTTTTTTCAGATTTTTTTTTTTTAGATTTTTTTTTTGTATTCTGACAGTTGCAGTCGTCAGAAAAATAAAAAAAAAAGGCATAAGAATGCATAGCTAGATTCTATAGCAACTTTGCAATAGCCAATAGCAAACTAGCTAATGCACCCGCCCTCTGCTGCTTTCAATCCCCAGAAGAGGACCTGATAGAAAAATTCAGGTCCCCCTCTGCTGATTGACAGCAGCAGTGCGCGGGTGCATTAGCTAGTTTGCTATTGCAAAGTGCAATAGCCAATAGGAATCCAGCTACTGTATGCATTCGTATGCCTTTTTTTCTTTTCTTTTCTGACTGACGGTCGGGCCGGCGGCTCCCGATGTCAGAAAAGAAAAAAAAAACGATCGCAGGCAAAGGTTTATCTGCTCGATCGAGCAGATAAACCTTTCCGGGAGGAAGGGTTTCTCTCCCGGGCGGCCGGGAGCCGCTATCTAATAGCGGGAGACTCCCGGAGCGTCCGGGAGAGTTGGGATGTCTGTAGATTGTTCACCTCTCCTGCCTTTTTCAAACTCTTCACCCTATAGTGAATAACCCTGTATGTGTTGCTGAGTTGTGTTTCCCAAAGTGTAGTTCCACTTTTGCAGTTAAAGGAGAACTATGAGGCGAGTGCTTTTCACTCACCTCATAGTTCTAGCCGGCCTGTGACAATGAGACTGTCACAAGTCGGCTCAGTAGATCAGGAGGTGAGCGAACACATACCGGCGTTCGCTCACCTCTTGATCCTGTCACAGCCAAAGCAGTAGCTCGCGGTATACTAAGCTTAAGGTGACGGGAGGACGCTAGTTTGTGTCCTCCCGTTACCCTAAGGAGAACTATGGGGAAAAGCCTTAACCCCACAGTTCTCCTTTAAATTTGAGAAAACACCACTACATGTTTGCTATGTGTCCCTAGCCACACAGGATACCATAAATCATTTTTAAAGATATACTGTATTTGATATAGGGTTGCCACCTTTTCTTCAAGCGAAACCCGAACACTCTAGAGACGCGCAGACAATTTTTGGGGAAAATTAGTCGTGGCTTATTCATATCTAAATAGCGCCACCCATTCATATGCAAATATTACAGGTGAGACTATTTTCAGTGGGGGGCTAGTAGCCCCTATCTTAATTTTGGTTGCCTCTGTCTGCCTGACATCTCGTGTCCGGGTTTCTGCTGCCATGAAACCCGAACTGTCCGGGTGAATCCGGGTGAATCAAAACCCGAACTGTCCGGGTGAATCCTGGACAGGTGGCAACCCTAATTTGATACCTTTTAGCTGTTTCTTTGGTGAAGGCCTTTGTGTAGATTCCAGGCTACTCTGAGCATTTGGAAAGTGAAAGTAAAGGGACAAACTGCGGGTCATGCTGGCCAAAGACCTTACAACCTTACAATATCCCAATTTGCCTGCAAAAATGGAAATACACTACATGATTTAATTTTAAACAGAGTGGGGGACATTTTAGAGCCTCTGTCAGGTTTTTTTCTGTGTTCCCGTTGGAGAACTTTTGGAGACAAAACATGAAATAAGACATTTTCATGGACAAAGCGTGGTGCTGTCTCTGGAAATCAGGATAAGCTCACAAGACGAACAGAAAGCACTTTACCTCCTTCCTCCAATACAGTTCCACGGAACCCCCGTGCACAACCAAGGCACTGCATTGCTGTACCCGCGTTCTGGTGCAGGTGATCACACCCGCCCCAAAACACGGGAGGCTTGCTTTATGCAATACAGTGCATTCCGGGCACGAACCAGAACGCACTGCATATGGCATGAATCATAGCTATGGTCAAGGCCTCTTATGGCTGAAACAAGATAGCTGGACTGCTATGTTTGGTTTTATGCCTTGAATAAATAAAAAAGATTTTAACTGGATCCAGAATCGTATGCAAACACTTTTTATTCTGGGACAGTAAATAATTAAAGCTAAACTCTGATCAGCTCGTAAAAAAGGGCCATTGGTACCCCCTTTCTTCTCTATTAAAGTGGAACTTAAAGGAAAAAGTAAAACCAACCAGGCAGGATTTTTATTGCAGAAAATACTTACTATGGGGCTGATGTACAGACGTTCTGACAAGCGTGTATCTGTGTAAATGTTGTTCGCATGGTATTTCCACCACTAGATGGAGCTAAAGAGTATAGGAATTTCCGAGCACCATGTTTAATAAGAACTTCCCAAGCGTAGGATTTGTGTGCTTCGGGCAAAAGGACTAGATGATGCAGATATCTTCCAGCCAGGAAATGAGATGGTCTCCATCTGACTTGCTGCTGCTTCTAATGCACACTGTGTGAAGCTCACACCGTGCATTCTAATCAGAATAAGCATTCTTAGCACGGGAGAGGAGCCTGTACAACTGTGCAAGACTGAAGGAAAGGCAGGAGTTCAGCTTTACCCAAGCAGTAAGTGAGTTTGTAAACAAGCCCTCACTGACCTCTGTAGCTGCTAGCACTGTGGAGAAATGCATTAAAGTTTACAGAGAAGCACCGAAGGCAGCTCACCTCACCCCACTCTCCTCTTACTACTCACCTCTCCCAG